TTTATGATATTGCATATCATTTAAAATTGCGGCCGTTAATGAAACTAATAAAATTTTCTTTTCGCCTATAATTATGCAAATATTTTTATGTTCATTCTATAATAATAAACGTAACGTATTTTTTCGATTGTTCAATTCCAGTGTCTTTTAAACTCTCTTGCATACATAACTAGTATTGTAGAATATAATTTCATTGAATTCTGAATTTTTGAAATTCATTCTGGAAAATAGTGTATTTTTCTATTCTAAATATGCACATATTATTTTGTAAAATAACATTTCGATTTCTGTGCATTTCTAAGTAAACTGAAAAATATTATTTTGAGTGTTAATTTAATTTAATTAAACCTAATGAGATGGAAAATTGCAGCAATTTTCTAAAATTTTCAAAATTTTATTAATCTATATATTGGTATTATAAAACCTTAATATGTGATTGATTTATTCAATTCAATAAACAATTAAAGAAAATTTCTTGTACAAAATTTAGAATTTACAAATTTTTCCATATATTTACATATACATAAAGTTGCTTATGTATTTTCGATGTAATAAATGCTACTTTACAAAAATTTTAATAATTTCATATCAAAAGAGATTTTTACATTTTAGCATGTATTTATAAAATGTCATATATACATTTAGATATATACATACTATATGTAAATGTAAAATAATATTGAGAGAAAATATTATTATCATCTTAAGAATTTTCTTTATGAATTATTTTCTCATCAATCTAATATAATTTACATCAGAAATTGTTAGATGTATTACATATTATATAACTACATAATATTATATTATTAGTATGTAAGTACATATATTTAATAAACAAAATTGAAGAGTTTTTGAATATTTTATAGAATTCTGCCTTTTCTATAAGATTTTCATCATTGGCATATTATATTCGAAATATTTTTAAACCCACAAAATTTGAATAAACATTCTGTAATTTGCATACTCGATTAGTTAAATACAAAAGGAATAAATAAAATGAAAATGAAAAATTTTCATTCTATATAGATATCTTTTAGATAATGTATACTGAACGATATATACTGGTATACGTATATAATAAAAGAGAAAATTTTCTGTAGTTTAAATGAAATTACTAGAAAATTTTCTTTTCTTCTCCTTACCAATCATTTTATCATTTTTCTTTTTTATATTTTTGTACAGCCACGAAATTTCTTTATTGCAATACGTATATATACAAAAAGAACTGTTTTAAATAAGAGCCCTCAACATTGACTCTATTATTAAGAGAGAGTATAATGGAAGAATGTTTCATCATCATTGCGTGTCCTCCTCTTTTATGTTTTATGATAAAATTATTGAAATTTTCAATCTTAAACCCAAAAGAAAATCAAAAATTTTGAATTTTCCTCTAGAAAATAGATGATGATAAAAATATAAGATAATAATCGTATCGCAAATTGAATTGACAATAACTTAGTTAAGTATAAAAGTACACATATTATAGTCAAATAAGAATTTTTTTTTAATTTTTTGAATTTAATATGTAATTTTTTATTTTTATATTTTAAAGATTAATAAGCAAAATAAAAAAAGGAAATTATTTAACAGTTCTATTTCGTTCGTCTGTTTTTATATCGGGGTCTGTGTATAAAACTTTTTAAATAAGTTAAAAATATTTGAATTTAAAATGTCAGTCTATCATAGAGAAGTATTATGTTTCTTTACATAGTCCTAAATTTTTTAGAGCAATAGCTAATAGGTACTCAAATTTTTACATAATCGTTATTTTGATAATAGCATAATTTTGAGTTTCTGTAAATTTACCCATAAGTTTCTTTGTTGTAATCGGATTTTCTTCACGTCATTAGATCTTTTTTTTTTATGAAATTTAGATGTCATTTATATTTTGATGACACACGTCAATTATAATTTATTCATAATTCAATTGAGTAACATCATTTCTGTATGTTATAAATTTTATTTTATTTACGTATATTAGTTTGGAATAAAAATTCGGAAATAGGAATAGACTAATAATAAAAATTTTTTACTGAAATTTCAGAATTATTATATTTTATCATTTATTCTCGTTTAATAATGAATTTTTCTTTAAATCAAAATTCCTATTTTTTCTACTCTATATTAAATTAAATTTTAGATTTTCAATGTGTCCTTTTTTTTCAATGTTGAATTTTTTTTGTGATATTCCTCCTTTTTCCTTCAATAATAGATAGAAATTCCAATAAATTTCATACCAAATTAAATGAGCATAATACAATAAAATAAAAAAAAATTTTTTGTTCGATTCATTTCAGTTTTTTTTTTCATTTTGTATAAAAGCGATTTCTTTATATTTAAATTTCAATTGAAAATTAAATTATTATTTTTTTTTTTGGAAAATAATTTTTAAAAAATGTATGATAATTTTTTAGAATAAACAAAAAAAAGGACATTTTTTGATTTTTAGATTAAAGAACAAAAGAATTTTTTTGTGTTTTTTTTTTTCCGAAATTCTATATAGTTATAAAAAAAGAAATCGTGAAATCAATAAATCATTTATTTATTTTACATTACGCAATAAACAGAATAAAATAAATTGATCGCTAAATGAAGCAATTTGAGAAAATTCACAGAAATTTTTTAATCACGTCAATATAAATTAGTTATTATTGAATAAATAATTGAAAAAATCATTTTCAATTTTGATATTTTGGCCAATATTTGAAATAAATAGTAGGAATTTTATTCAATAGTGATTTTGTTATAAAATTTTTGATATCGGGAAAATTTTTTGAATAAAATAAGTAATCTATTTATATGTGATAAAACATTCTCATCTACAAACTTAGATATTTAGTATATATAATATTGCTTATTGAATTTTTTTATTTTTTTTTTTCTGCAATGTAGGTATAACATCTTAATTTAAATAATATTAAATTAAATTTTCTAAAACAAATTTCTAACAAAATTTACATTTTAATAAGGCTAGTTATATTTGTATTATTTCGAACAAGAAACAAATTATAATTTTAATTAGACTTGATTAATAAGATAAATTATTCAAAATATTAAAATGCGAATTTTTCATATTGACAATAAATAATTGATTTTAATTACTTTAACAAACTTAAGTAATATAAAAACTCATATTTTACTTCAATTGTGTAATATAGAAATTTGATTCAAAGATGAGAAGAAATTATGAAAATTTCTACAAAAAATTTAAAAAAAAATACATTTAAACACAACACAAATTTTTCAAAAAAGGTATAATAACTGTTATATAAGCTGAAATCTGATTTCTAAAAGATTTGTTAAACAATTAAAATTATTTGGGAGAATTACTCACATAGACTGTTAGATTTAGCAGTTTTAGTAGACGCTCATATTGAAATTCCTTCTCTATTTTACAAAAATTTAATAATATAAAAAAATATTTAAAAATCTCCTATAAATTTTCATTGATGAAATTTTCAAATTAATTATTGATATCTACATATATGAGTTAACAAATTGTTCTCATATGTTCGAATTGGTAATAATTTTTTCTCAAATAATTTAATTAATGAGCATTAAGTATATTTAACAAAAAAAAAAATACTTTTTTTTTCTGATAAATTTTATATCATCCCCTTTTCACGACCAAATCAATATCCATAAAATTGCAACAAAATTTTTTACTGATTGTGGTTTAATTTTACATGTTTAAAAATATTTATAATTGATATGAGATCAATTATAATTAAATTTGATTAACATTTTCAATAAAACAAAAAAAAAAGAAAAGACAAGGTGAAATTACTTTATCACCCAGTTATTTATTATGGCTATGTTTTTTGGTTTTAACTTGTTTTTTATAAACATGGGGGTAACAGAATTATGGTAAATTTTCTCTGCTTGAAAATATTTTTTATACAATTTCTGAATGGCGTAATAAAATTGCTATTTCGTTTATTTATAGCAGTAGGGTAAATGTCAGTTTAATAACAAGAAAAAAATTAATTAATTCTCAAAAAGTAAGTTGTTGATATAAAAGAAGCTGATAAAGGTAAGACACGAAAATCGCCCTTCAACAGCCATCTCATTTTCCATGTTAAAGCACAGCGGCATGTTGTTTTTCAAAATAATTAAATAATGCTTTCCATATACGTATGAAAACTTTATGATTGTATCAACCTTTTCCATATATGTATTTTTGTTTGCAATTTAATTATTTTAATCATAAAATCATTTTATATACAAACAATTAAGTAATTTTCCTGTAATTTTCACAATTATGAACATTAATTGTTATATGCATTCATACATACATGCATTTATTTACAACTTGCCAAACTATATGAATGCCTATGTATATGGATGATGTTATATTTTAAAGTAAAATGCAGAATTGGAAACATTTATGCCGTATTTATATATGTATGTATATGTATGTTTACATACAAATTATGGAAATATTTATAATATGTACGCTCTTATTTATTGAATTTTAAAATGTACAAGTTTTTATGAATATTTATATAATAGTTATTCACTGGATTTAGCTGATAAGCTACAGCTTATTGTCGGATATTTATGATTAAAGGTGCTTAAAAACAATTAATTAATTGTAATATTTTTGGTAATAATTTTTTTTCTTCTTTTAGGTTATATCTATAATGTATATGAGAAATCAGTTAATATATTTAAAATATATTTAAAACATGTTGAATAATTGCAATGACATCAAACAAACGAAATTTTAAAACAGATTATGAATGAAAAATGCAATGTATGTATATATTAATATTACAAGATATGTTGGTTTTGGTTTTTGTTTAAAGAAATATACTAATCAAACAAAAGTTATGCAATACAAGTAAAATTAGCGCCATCGTAGCCATTTCCACAATTTTTCACTTGGACAACTTAAAGTTTATATTGCAATAATTAATTTTGCTAAAATTTAGTTAAATTTCAATAGAAAACTATGCTTGTTTGTTTTAAGAAACGAAAATCACAGTCATTCAACTTACCGTCATATATTCATCCAATCGATGTTTCCAATGATCAGATCTATCAATTAAATTATTCCATTGTTCTGATAATTTTGTTACTTCACGTCGAATACTTCTCGTCAATTCACGATTTTGTTCTTCAGCCGACGGATATCTGGACTCTGAATCAATTGCTATATAAAAGATATAAAAGTGTTTATTATTTACAAATTAATGTAAAAAAAATATAATTGAATTGAATTTTTCGTAATCAGTTTCTTCCTCTTAAAATAAGATCACACCAAATATAAAATAAATTGTAGTTTATGTTAAAGGAATCCATCAGAAACTATAATAATAACATTTTAAGGGGATATAGGTCAAATAACCATATAAAACAATTTATATGGCAATATATATGCATGTAGCTATCGAAAAGAAAATAAATTACAGGTAATCAAATATTTAATGGTTTAATTAAATTTTTTATAACAATTATAATAGTCAAAAACAGAAAACAAAAAAAAAATACAATACAAATTTGTGTAGTTTAATGTTAAAAACTTTCCTATTTATTTGATGTTTTATCATCAATTTTAATTGAATTTAATTCTAGTTTAAAAAAAATTAATGTTTATTTCATATAAAAACAAATTTACTATTTTATATGAAATTACTTTAAGGGTTTGCTAATTTTGGACAAAATATAGTTGCACAATTTTACTCTTATGAAAAAGCATTTAAAGAATAATTTTCAGTATCTATGTTTTATTTGAATTGCCTTTCTTTCGAGAATCGTAAAGAATATATAGATTTTATTCAAAATAAATCTAATAGAAATGTTAATAAGACTATCACAAACATCTATAAGACTATCGCACATATCACAGACAATTTTTTTGAAAAAAAAAAAAATATTTCAATATTATAATTTTCCTTATATATATGAAATAAAAATTTTACCTTCAGTGTCACTCGTATCCGATACCGGTGGTTCACTTGCAACATATTGTCTACCACTAAGTAAATTACTTTCAACAACCGGACGTTTATCTTCCAATTGGCGTCGAAATGCTTTATGATCATCCTTAAAAGAAAGAAAAAAAAAATGAATTTAATTATTTGTACGTAAAAATAAGATTAATTTAAATCGATAGCTAAAAAAAATATTATTAAAATTTCCACTAAAATATAAAATATCTTTGTATGTATATAGTGTGTATTTTAAAGTATAACAATGTTTTTCGTCATCATGAACAGATTTTGATTTCGGTTTGTCTGTATATAGAGAGGAAAATCCAATACTCGTAGTAGTAGAAATCACAATAAAACATTTCTTCTAGTAGAAATAGTAATCATTATATAGAACAGGTACATATAGGTATATGATTTTCGCAATATAATTTTGGCAGGTGTTCAATCCAAAATGAATAAAAGAATCAATAAAATTTTCAATCAATGATAGTATCAGTCAGTCTATAAACTTTTATGTACAAAAACAATTTAACATTGTATGGCGTCAGGTATTACTGATAATAATATAATAAGATATAGAATAGATATCTTTCATTTCAAATTGTTTGAGCTGTGTCTGAACTATTATAATAGCATTTTAACAAAATATTAACTATATATCGCTTAAAACAATATATAGATATAATATGTTGCTTATCCATAGGGAAAAGTTTTAAATAGATTCTATATCAGAATATAGGAATGAATATAGGAATTCTTGATATTTTGGGTAGGTTACTTAAATTAAAAGGAAAAAATAACTCTTATTTTTTAATTTCTTTATTTTGTAAATATATAATTGGTTAACATCCCTTATAATTGGCCTCAATAAAAATCTTAATTAACTCTTGGTGTTCACCTTCTTTTCTGTTATCTTTTTCTTACTTATATAATAATATTATATATGTATACAAATACAGGTATAATTCTAGTACACATAAACAGGTATTTTTACATCATCTTTTTCAATAAAAAAAAGGTAGAAAAAGTTAACGATAAAATTTTTGATTTGATTTTATTTTTATCCAACTTTAACTTGCTTTTTTTTTTTTGAAAATGGATAAACTTGTATAAAGTGAAAAATACCTGCTTTCTCAGAAAGTAGGTTTTATTTTTTTTATTTTTTTTTTATGAGAATAAATTATCGAAATTAATTTTAATGAAAAAGGATTGAATTATAAAACTTGGTCGATTATTTTATCTACTTTGCAGATTATTATCAAAAGGGACGTAAAAATAGAATTTGGGGAAACATTTTTTGGGGATAAGGTTTAATTTTTTTTTATGAAAATTTGATTAAAATAAAAATTTCTTAATATGAGCAAATTAATAATGATTATGATAATAATTTATTGAATATTGTTAAGCTAGTTTCTAATTTATAGTTTCCTAAAATGTTCTCTGTAAGGAATTGTAGAAAAAGACATTTTCTGATAAAAAAAAAACAATCAATGCTGACCTTGTTATATTTGTAAATAGCTTTAAAAAATCAACTTTTTAATTAGACCCATGTACTTTTACCCATTGAAAAGAAATTAAACAACATGGTTAATATTCACAGAATTCAAACTTTGTCAATTGAAATAAATATATTGATGACGAATTTACAAAAATCTATATAAATTGTACATTTTTTGAAAGAATATTCTTAATATATTAGTAGTTATTTTAACAATGAGAAATTTTGACTTTAATAAAAAATAAAAAAATATAAATTTTAAATTCAAAAATAAATTTAAGTTATTAAATTAAAGAATCGGAGAAATGCCGTAACATCTGTGCCCTTTAGAATATTTAAGAATTATGTTGCGGAGAAATTTTATTAAAATCCCAAAATTATAGCTGTAGCTTTCATAATTTGTCTTTTTTATGTAACTTACAGGAATAATTATGCAATTTTTACATTTTAGTAAACTTTAATTTTTAGATAGTCATCTTTTTTTTTTATAAAACCGCTATCGTCATTCATGTAAGCCATCCTATTGCATTTATAAGAAGTGTTATAATAGCCATTTATCATTCATTTTCTTCTTATAAGAGAATTTTTATTACAAGGTTTGATGGAAAATAAATAACAAATCCTAAAAATCCTAAACAAATCAGAGAATATAGAAACAAAATGAAATATTTTTGGGACCTTTTCTGCTTTTGATAAATACATTTTTTTATTTGAATATTCTTTTCAAAATAATTTGCGGTAAGGATTTTAGTGGTATTGTATGATATATTTAGGTATAATGTAATATTGTAATACATAAAAGGATGTAAGTGAATAAATTTAATTTGGCACATATTTGAACAGGTTTTCTCAATACTTAGGACTATGCATATATCGTTCTTATACCCTATATAAGAACGATCCCATTTAATGTGATAATCTTTATTAAATTTGCTATTGTTATAATGTTATATTATAATATTTTCTTTTTGTCGGCATAAGGATATACGTAAGTATGAATATAGCATATTTGAAATGAAATGTATAAAAACTAAAAATAAAAAAAAAGAAAAGAGAACGAAAATATTACGGTAAACTTATACGTTATAATATTTACCTTTTTACCTTCATTCTTAATCATCTTTATTTGATGTAAATAAAAATATGTACGGATATGTTAATACATATATACATTTGTATATGTTTTATATTATTGCAAAGTTAAGAAAAAATATGTGTACGTGTAAACGATTTTTTTGCTCTTTTGTATTTCTTTAATATCCTGTGAAATGTGCTTTGGGATGTTTTTAGAATTTGATTCTTTTTTTTTAATTTTTGTTGCTCCTGCTTCTTTTAATAATTGGCAGAGATTTTATTAAATACACAGAGGTGTATCATTTTATTTAATTTTATTCATTTAACATATTTAACAGTGAAAGTAACTATTATTTACATTTTTACTGATAAATTGAATGTGAAAGTTTTTTTTTGAGGGAAAAATGTAAAGGAAAAATATTTTTACAGAAATAAAGTTGCGTTCTAAGAAGTTGAATTAAGCAAATAACATTGGAAATTTGAGATAAATTTGAAGTTTCCATAAGACATAATTACATTTCTAGTTGAAAGCTTTTTTAATTGTTGTAGGAATAATTTATACTATATTATGTATGAATACAACCTTATTTAAGCAATGTAATCGTTCTTTTTACAAGGAATTAAAAAAATGTGGGAAGATTTTATAGATTTTATTTGCTTATTCTATAATTTCTTTTTATTTCGTTTATAATTTCTGCCAGAAGATAGGGTATTTGGTATAGTATTGGTAGGTACACATATACATATATATATATATATATATATATATATGGTATTGATGTATTTTGTGAATAAATTATTATTCAGACAATATTGCAATTAACATTTATAAATTTATCCATATTTATAAATAAAATGATTTTTAATTAATTTTTATATTTCAGTAAACTTTATGCTATTAAGAAGAATGCTATTTCGATAATTTATCAAATTGATGAAATTTTAATATTTTAATTAGAAATTTCGATATGTCTTTTTTTTAACTAAATTTTAAAAAAACCACTTCTTTTACAAAAAAAAACTGAATAGAACTAGTGAAGATAAATTGATATTAGAAGACATCATTCAATAAGAGAGAAGAGAAAATATACATGGATTTAAAATTTTCCCCAAGTAAATATTCACTTGAGGCAATCTATTTTAAAAGAATTTCTATTTTATTTATAAAAAAGAATTTTCAGTGTTAAACATTTAAACAAAAAAAAATTTAGCGCCTAAAGGGTGAATATTTTTTTTTTTTGAAAATCATCACTAGGAAGGAAGAAAAAAAATTTGTAATAATAATGTACAGTACATTCACTTAACATTTTTAAATAATAAAAGAAGCTAAAGCTTTAGATTTTTTGAGACGAACATAATTATTTATGTATATTAAAATTCATACAGTTATACAAGGCGCAAATATTATGTGTATACATTTATTCGCACAATTGTAAAGTTAAATAACGATACCATTACAACGAAGGAAAACCGAGAAGAAAAAATTGAACATTCAAAAAATCGAATTTCATTACTGCTGACAAAAGAAAGCAAAAAAAAAAGACTGTCAAAAAAAGAAAAACAAAGATTTTTTTTCGATTTCCGTTGATTTTCTTTTCGTTTTCCTTACAACCAGAAGCGAAAGAAAGAAGCAGTCGTTTCTTCTCTTCATATTTTCATTATTCTTTATGATTATAGTGCAACCCAATCTCCTATATATCATATTTTTAGACTACCCTCAATATTTACAAAAGTAAAAGTATTTTTTTTGCGAGTTTTGGTATTATAAAATGTTTGGTTTGCTCCTCCATTTCAATGAAATTTTTTTCAGCTATATCTTTCCTTTTGGTGAAAGAAGCAACGGATATACATTAAAACGATGTCTTAAAGGATCTTTTAATTTTATATATATATAAACATCGTACAGCGTTGGCAAGTTTGCTAAAATTATTAGTAAATGAACTTAAATAGCAATATAAATGTACATATATATATTCGTATTCATATATATGTATAAATATTTATGTGATATGATTTTTGAAGAAGAATTTCAAGTTTTTGATTTTTATATCCAAGCAAGTATATTTATATTTTACCATTTATGTTATATATGTATATTTACACAATATATTATTATGTAATGTAATATATTATATAAAATTGGAATGAATAAATCCTTAAGGCAAAATTTATGTACAAAAGGAAAAAAAAGAATTGTTCTCCTTTCTTTCTTTTACTTTTTATAGTCCCTATATTTTTTATTTTTTGTACAGAATTTTTTTGTAATATATTTTTATGCAAGGACAAACAACATATACATTTTATACAAGATCATGTTTTGAGGCTAACATTTTAGAGGTGTTTTGTGTATACATTCTGATTTGGGTATATTCTACATATTAATAATAATATTATTATTGTACGTTAACACTTATACATTTTCTTATTATATATATAAAATATAAATATTGTATAATATCCAGTGAATATAAAGTGACAGCAGTATATTATTTATTAATAAAATATTAAATATTAATATATTGTATATACTTATATACAAATAATGTACATTTACATATGTATAGAATATTTTGTACAGATTATATTGTTTACGTAAGCGATTTTTACTTAAACTATTTATCCCCTTAATATTAGTGCAAAAAAAGTATTTGAATTTTGACTTCACATAGAATTATAATGATGAAAAAACAAAAAAAAGAAACTAAATAAAAATTATAATAATAAAGGACGTTTTACGATTTACTTAAACTTCTATGTTATACTTATGGCATATACATAACAGTAACAATTGTTGAATACTTTTTTAGACTAAAAATTTAAAAAATTTGTTCTCGTAGTCTATACAAAATAAATAAAGTCAGGTAAAACCAATGGTTTGAAATTTAGCACTTTTCCCGTGTTAGTACTGCTTTTTAGAACATTCCATGTATACCTACTACATTATTAAAATTACTTTTAGTCATATACGAAACAACTTCAAAAATTGCATACATTTGGGATGAACAATTTATACGAGTACCGTCTTTCAAATCAAACAAAATAAATTTAAAGAGGTATTAATATAATTCTCAATCTTAGGGGTTATTTTTAAATGGTGTGGAGTTTACCATTAGCTTTCTGCGTTTATAGAGATTTGAATAAAGTTGGGTCAAACCAATGGTTTGTATTGTAGCACTTTTTTCTTCAACAAGGGAAAATACTGCTTCGAAAAACAATATATACAATAACCACACTGAAAATAATTTTTCATTCATATACGAAACTATTTCTAGGATTCTATATATTTAGGATGAACGTTTTATGCAGTTTTTGAAATAAAGCAAAAATTAATTTTAAAAGGGGTTAACACAGTTCTCGATTTTAAGGGTTGTGTGAATTAAAAAAAATAATTGTATTTTTTAATAGGACAGAGTTATCTTTCTGCATTTAGAGAAATTTGGAAAATCTTGCGATTTTGTTAATATAAGGTGCCAAATATTCAAATTTTACAAATTTCGAGAGATGACTTGAGAGGGGGAGGAGTTGCAAAAAAATTTTATTCTAACGAAATGAACTATTTATGTCTGGAAACTGTTAAAATTTCGCCGTTAAAGTGGTCGTTCAAAATTTTAAAAAATTTTCAATTTTTTGCCGAGGTAGGGGGTCGTGCAAAATTTTAAAAAATTTTCAATTTTTTGCCAAGGTAGGTCGTGCAAAATTTTAAAAAATTTTCAATTTTTTGCCGAGGTAGGGGGTCGTGCAAAATTTTAAAAAATTTTCAATTTTTTGCCAAGGTAGGGGGTCGTGCAAAATTTTAAAAAATTTTCAATTTTTTGCCAAGGTAGGGGGTCGTACAAAATTTTAAAAAATTTTCAATTTTTTGCCAAGGTAGGGGGTCGTGCAAAATTTTAAAAAAATTTCAATTTTTTGCCAAGGTAGGGGGTCGTGCAAAATTTTAAAAAATTTTCAATTTTTTGCCAAGGTAGGGGGTCGTGCAAAATTTTAAAAAATTTTCAATTTTTTGCCAAGGTACGGGGTCGTGCGAAATTTTAAAAAATTTTCAATTTTTTGCCAAGGTAGGGGGTCGTGCAAAATTTTAAAAAATTTTCAATTTTTTGCCAAGGTAGGGGGTCGTGCAAAATTTTAAAAAATTTTCAATTTTTTGCCGAGGTAGGCGGTCGTGCAAAATTTTAAAAAATTTTCAATTTTTTGCCAAGGTAGGGGGTCGTGCAAAATTTTAAAAAATTTTCAATTTTTTGCCAAGGTAGGGGGTCGTGCAAAATTCTAAAAAATTTTCAATTTTTTGCCAAGGTAGGGGGTCGTGCAAAATTTTAAAAAATTTTCAATTTTTTGCCAAGGTAGGGGGTCGTGCAAAATTTTAAAAAATTTTCAATTTTTTGCCAAGGTAGGGGGTCGTGCAAAATTTTAAAAAATTTTCAATTTTTTGCCAAGGTAGGGGGTCGTGCAAAATTTTAAAAAATTTTCAATTTTTTGCCAAGGTAGGGGGTCGTGCAAAATTTTAAAAAATTTTAAATTTTTTGAGAAGGTAGGGGGTCGTGCAAAATTCTAAAAAATTTTCAATTTTTTGCCAAGGTAGGGGGTCGTGCAAAATTTTAAAAAATTTTCAATTTTTTGCCAAGGTAGGGGGTCGTGCAAAATTCTAAAAAATTTTCAATTTTTTGCCAAGGTAGGGGGTCGTGCAAAATTTTAAAAAATTTTCAATTTTTTGCCAAGGTAGGGGGTCGTGCAAAATTTTAAAAAATTTTCAATTTTTTGCCAAGGTAGGGGGTCGTGCAAAATTTTAAAAAATTTTCAATTTTTTGCCAAGGTAGGGAATCGGTCAAAATTTTAAAAAATTTTCAATTTTTTGCCGAGGTAGGGGGTCGTGCAAAATTTTAAAAAATTTTCAATTTTTTGCCAAGGTAGGGGGTCGTGCAAAATTTTAAAAAATTTTAAATTTTTTGCCAAGGTAGGGGCTCGTGTAAAATTTTAAAAAATTTTCAATTTTTTGCCAAGGTAGGGGGTCGTGCAAAATTTTAAAAAATTTTCAATTTTTTGCCAAGGTAG